AGAAGAATGCTTAAAAAAAAATTTAATTTAGTGGTATTTAACCATTAAGTTACTCAATTGTGAAACTTAGTGTGTTCAAAAACATGGTAAATATTGAATTTTTTTAAGCTTAGAATATTGATTGTTTTGTAGCAATTTTATTTTTTTTTTCTTTAAGTTGATTAAGGTGCCCCAAGAAGTTCGTACGGTCTTATCACAGAGCACCGTGGAAGAGCATTTAATGGGAAGTTCATGCCTCCTTCCCAACCGATGTCGCAAAACTTGCCCAGAGGTGAGGTTTGAACCACAGGTCTTACCTTTCTGAAGGCAAGTGCGCTACCACTGCGCCACGGCTGCATATATATATATATATATATATATATATATATATATATATATATATATATATATATATATATATATATATATATATATATATATATATATATATATATATATATATATATATATATATATATATGTATAACAAATTTATACGGCATCTCTTTGAAGTTGATTAAAAAATTAATTTAAATTGCGCCTCTTTACATAACCTCCAACTTATAAAAGCTCATTTACTGAACACATCTGTACAATAAATGAGTTTTTATAAGTTGAAGTTTTTGTAAGTTTATATATTATAAGTTGGAGTTTATGAAAGGGTATGTATTATAAGTTTGAGTTTATGTTAAAGGGCATCTTTTGCAGCAGAAGAGCGCCCTTTAACTCTGAATTAGTTTATATATATATATTTTAAAATTATCTTTTTTATTCAGAACATTCAATATTAATTTTCTTTATATTTGTTATATTTTGAGACTATATGAACATTGTCCATATAGTCTATAGTCGATTTTGTAAAATGATTTAAAGTTATTACTTATGATAGGACAGTTAATTGAAAAGTCCCATCATAAAAAATATCTTTAAATCATTTTACAAAATCTTTAAAAACAAAAAAAAATCACATTTCATTAGAATCATTTTTTAGATTGTAAAAAATACATTATTGGTTTTTAAAACTTAGTTAAAACATATATGTTTATCAACTTATAATGAACATTAAGTTTCTATAATGAATCACACCAAAAAAAAATCTGGAGCTCAATTTAAGAAGAAAAGAAAACAGCGTCTAGAAAGTGATGAAAAAATACAAAGTTGTTTCAAGAAGTGGCTGGTAACTCTGCTGAGGAAAAACAGAGGATATTAGTATTGAAGTTCATAAAAGTTTAACAGATAAAGTTTTTCAAAGAGTTCAAATTAATGACTTAAGTTCAGATCGTAATTTGAAATTAATTCAGAAACAACAAGAGAGTCAAGAGTCAAAAAAGTCAAGAAGACTTTTACACAATAATTCAGAAACAATAAGAGAGTATGGAAATTCCCAGCATTCTGACCGGGCTGAAATGGATCACAATAAACTTTATTCAGAAATATCAGATATTCTGCCAACGTTAGGAAAAAACTTTCAATAAAGGGATCCAGCAACATGGCCTAAACTAACAGACAATATAAGATGCTTTTTGATTCAACACGGGCCCGAGCAAGAAAGAAGACAATTTTTGCCATACACACTGTTTGATGACAACAGAAAGAGACACTTCAGCACAAAATGGTATGAAAAAATTCATCCTAATGGTGAAAAATTTATTTACCATTAATTGCTGTACATCAATAAAAAAGATTCATTGTTTTGTTTTTGCTGTTTAAAAGTGATTGTTTATGTAGTTTTGTTCTGGGAACTGGGAAGGCTGCAAGTTCAAAAACTATCTATCCATCCAAAAAAGGAAAATGTCCTTGAGTCCTACTTCAACAATAATATTGGCAACAGCAACATTGTCAACTTTCAAATCTGAGTCTGAGGCAGAATATCAAGAGTCTCAAGACGCAACCAGCAACCATTTGTTGATAGTTATATTAAGATAAGATTGACATTCAGACACATACACAGTCTTGTATATTCAGATCATCTATTAAAGAATTGGTTAAACTTGAAGAAATAGATAACACTACATTTAGAAAGCTTGTCACTGTACTTTGATGGTAAATGTATTAGTCGACAAGAATATCAAGTGGTAGTGTTGAAGAATAAACAGAAGAAGCTAAGTTACAAGTACTAGACCAGACAGGAAAGCAGGTTTTTGAAGGTATAACAGCTAATATTGATGAATACAAATTGTGGTTTTGTAAAGATAATTGCAGCGGACAGTGAAAGGAATGGGATTGTCAATCAGTTACAAAGAGGTTTTACTGAAAAGAAAGTGGAAGATTTCTTTTCAATTTCCACAATTCATTGATTGTCAACATCATGTTCTTGACCAAGTCTTTCACATAGTAATGGATGAAGTTGGAGAAACTTGGAGAAAACAACATGTCGCCCATGTTATCTGTTTATTCTGGAACTTGTTAGGAAACGCGAACAACTCAGGAAAGATTACAAGAATGCAAAGAATTGATTACTGAAACAGCAGGATAGCATTACAGTATGAAATTTCTATTTTAGAACTCAGGTATTCCGCTTTTTGAAGAATCTGAAGTATTTCCTAAAGTGAAGTTTCAGAAAATACCTAATTTAAATAATGCAAAATGGACAATACTGGCTCTTTTGGCATTTGTTCCTTTAACAGAGAGAAGAGACTCACTACATTTGCAGATCAATCTCTTGCAGATAGGCAAACCATTGGTTTATTGACCAAATGTACAAGGCACAGGATTATTAGAAGCCATGTAGTAGGTTGCATGGTCATGGAAAATCGTTAAACTCAGTGAAAAAGTTTTGGAATCAGGAACCATTAGGATTGGAAATTCCCAGAACAAATCAGTGTGCAGAAAGAGCAATCAAGTTTCATTAGTATCTATTTGGTATCTGTAAAAAGAAGAAGATGCTTTGACTTTTTTTTTGTCTAACAAAACATATAAATTGTATATTACGCTTTAATAAAGCTGAATACTTCACAACATATTTTTTATATATACATTAGCTTTTCATGCTTGTAGAATTGTTATATAAGTTTTAAATTTTATATTACTTGTAATTTAGAGTATTATAGAGTATTCTTAGAGTATTTTAACTTGTATCTTATTATGATGTAACATGGGAAAAATAGGCGCTGATGTGATTATCAAGCTTCTGAACTCAATTCTTTGTAACTGTTAAGCAGTAACAATGCTGAGGAATGCTATAATGCTTAAATACTTTAAACAGTTTGCCAATGAAGTATTAAAGCAATTTACTTTAAATAAAAATATTTTCAATTAAAAATTCAATAATAATTCATTTATAATTTTTCAATAAAATTTTTAGATTTGATTGCTTTTATTTGATTAAAATTCATTTTTTTGAATTATGAAATCAATTTTTTGACGTTCCAACGAAAATTTGAGAGAAATTAGACAATTGAAAATTCCATCTATGCTCTTATCCAATTACTTTTTAAGAAAATATTGTACTGTATGTGTGTGTGTGTGTGTGTGTGTGTGTGTGAGTGTTTTATCAAGTGGACTGCTTTATCAACTGAGGGTTTAAGATGTATATACAATTTTTTTTCATATTACATATATATGTATATATATATATATATATATATATATATATATATATATATATATATATATATATATATATATATATATATATATATATATATATATATATATATATATATATATATATATATATATATATATATATATATATATATATATATATATATATATATATGTATGTATTTACATTATCCCAAAAAAACATTTAAATCAAAAAAATTTAAATATTATTCTGTTTTTCATTTTTTTTTCGATACTATTCTATTTTCTCATATATATATGTGTATATATATATATATCAACCCTTGGAAGTAGGGTTGGCATCCGGCCATGCTGACCTACCTGCCGACCTAGAAGTGTTTGAAGTCGGCAAAAATTGCCGACCTCTAAAAGGTTGAGGTCGGCAAATTATTGCCGACCTCATTTTTCCTAATTTCGAGGGTTACATTACTCGGAGTTTCATGTTTTATGCGATCATATATATATATATATATATATATATATATATATATATATATATATATATATATATATATATATATATATATATATATATATATACACAGTGCGGTGCAAATTTATAACCTCACCCAAAATTCAAGATCTCACAAATAATTAAACAATTATTTTTAAATTATTCAATTGCTTAATGTCTTACTTGATTATTATTTCATTTGTAATAGAGTCTGGTTTCATTTTGTTAATTGACTTGAAAATTTTAGAAAAATGATGGTGCAAAATTATAACCTCATTTCAATTTTACTCTACAAAGTTTCATAATGTTTTGTATTGCAATTTAAATTTATTGTTAATACTTTGTTTTACTACCGCCATTCTGAATAACTTTAAATATTCGATTTGGCATACTTTCCAAATGTTTTCTAAGATCTGCAAGAAATATGTTCTTCCAAACATGTACAGTTGCCTTTTTCAATTCATTGACATTCAAATATTGTTTACATTCTGCATAAACACATCTTGCTAAGATGCCCCATACATTTTCAATGGGATTTAAATCAGGTGAGAGCGCTGACCATTCTAATAATTGAATTTTCTTGCTGGTAAACCATGAGATATTTGACTTTGCTCTATGAATTGGAGCATTATCTTGCTGGAAAATAAAATTGGTGTTACCAAAGTTTTGCGAAATATCATTCAAATGACCATTCAACAAACTTCTATATCCTTTAGGATTTAATTTTGTAGTAATAAAGCCAATCGAAGTTTTTTCAAAATAATTGAACCTAAATCATTACTCCTCCGCCTTCCATAGCCCTTATTTTTGAAAATATTTTCTTTTTTGTAATGTCATGCCAATAATAATTGAAGCCATCTGGACCATTAAGATTAATTTTTTTTTTATCAGACCATGCAATTTTTTGCCATTCTTTTTCCCAAGTCATGTGGTCCTTGGCCCATTGAAGAGGAATGCGTTTGTGTGCTTCAGTTAGTGGTGGAGATGTGCGTTTTCTTGCATGTCTAAGAATATCTGACTTGTTAATTGCACGATTAATTGTTTATTATGAGCATTTCAATCCCAAATTACACCTATTACACCTTGCGGAGATTGTACGGTTACTAGCAGCATGCAGAATATGTCGCTGTTGGCGAGCTGTAAGTATAAATTTTCTACCACTTCAATGCTTTGTGCTATAATTTGTTGGATCCTTTACAAAATTATTGGTTAAATATTGTGAGCATCTCAGTTTGCAAGAAATTTTCCTGCTTGATAAACCCAATGACCTGTAGGCTTCAATCTTGCCATTTTCTTTATCGGAGAGTGTATATCCTCTTGACATTAGTTAGAATGTGTTTTATAATTTTAAAATGTAATAAATTTAATTAAAAAAAAAAATTTACTGCTATTTTTGATGGCTTTTAATTCAATTTAGATAACAAGGTTATAATTGCGCACCACATTTTTTAACGGTTTTATAATTTGAGTCAATTAAAATATAAATAGATTCATGTAAATTATTTTGTTTATTTCAAAAAATTATCAACAAATAGAATTTGATAAAAAAACTTTGAAAGATAGTTATAAGGTTTCTATACAGGTGAGGTTATAATTCTGCACCCCACTGTATATATATATATATATATATATATATATATATATATATATATATATATATATATATATATATATATATATATATATATATATATATATATATATATATATATATATATATATATATATATATATATATATATATATATATATATATATATATATATATATATATATATATATATATATATATATATATATATATATATATATATATATATATATATATATTATATATATATATATATATATATATATATATATATATATATATATATATATATATATATATATATATATATATATATATATATATATATATATATATATATATATATATATATATATATATATATATATATATATATATATATATATATATATACATACCTACATATATATAATATGCATGTTTAGATAATATGTCTGATGTCACACTGGATATATATGAATAATTTATATGTATATATATATCCTTATTTCTGTATAACGTCATATCTACCCTTATTTCTGTATAATGTTTATGCAAAGCATAATGTTAACGTAATTTTTGATATTTCGATTAATAATTTATTTAGATATGGAAAAAAGCATAAAAGATCAAGAAAGTGCAAACATGGGAAACTTTGCAGATATTCGCATAAAAAAGTGTCAGGTTTGTTTTATAAAATTCTTTTATAAGCTTTATTTAAAATTGAACTATATTGTTTAGCTTTAAGTAATGACTATCTGTAATACAATATAAAAACAGTTTTTATAAGTATTTATAGCAATAACTGAAATCCTTTATGTTATATAGTATTGTTATTAATACTGATATGTTAGCAGTATTATTATTCAGTAATATTATATTCTTGGTTTGATATAATTGAACAGGGACAAGAGTTTGATTTAAATAATATACTGTTTTAAATTGAACAATAAAGCTGCAATAAAGTATTAAATAAGAACAATAAAGTTTGATCAAACTTGTTTTTTTTCTTACCCTTCAAAATATTTTCGGACATAGAAATCCATATTTTCGGACATAGAAATCAAATTCATCAAACTTCTATTACATCTTTCTGAAAAAATTTTGGCCTGAAAATTCATGGCCATAAAAAGCCTTTAAAAGTTATTTATATAACTAAACAAGAGAGTGTTTGAATCTAACATTTTACCAAGTTTATGTTTTTTCAAAAGTACTGACATAAAAATTGAAGTATTAAAATCATACCTTAACTCTGATTGGGTAGACCTGAGGTGAAGTAATTGAAATCTGAATTTTATTTGAGTGTGCATTTGTGTTATAAGATAATTTCTGATTTATGAAGTAGCTTTGAATTGAAGTTTATAACATTAATTAACCTTTGTTTATCAAAAAATTTATTTTAGCATTCAGCATTATCAAGAGAATTTGTTGAAGCAATGACTGAATATAATAATATACAAAATGACTACAGAGATCGCTGTAAAAACAGAATCAAAAGACAGTTGCATATTGGTAAGTTGACCATATGTATTTCTTTGTTAAAGGTATTTGTATATGCAAGAATTGTTATGAATATGAAATGAATAGCACATAATCTTAATTTAATAAGAAGCACCACAAAATTTTTTCAATTTTTTATTGTTTTTGTGGATTTATATATTTTTTAACTATTATAATTTTTAACTATTATAATTTTATATATTTTTTAACTATTATAACTATTATATTGTGGATTTATATTTTTTTTAACTATTATAATTTGTTAATTTGCAGCAAAACTAGTTTATATCAAAATAATGTAAAAATCTAAAATCATTTTAACATTGTTTTGATTAAACTAGTTCATTAAGGAATAAAATTAAATTTATTTGTATGAAAAAAAAAATTATGTTTGTTTTAAAAATATTTTTATCTTAATGCAAGCGGATATATATATTTTTTAATAGTTGTGTAAACCTAAAGATCGTTTGGTTGTCCAGCTTTAGTTAGGTAGATATTGGAGGTAGAAGGGGTATTGGAAAAGTCAAAAACCCCTTCGTAAAAGGACCCAACTTGCTTAACACTTTGTTTTAGTAGTCTAAAACCTTCCTCCTATCATAGTCTTTTTAAGAAAACCAATTTTTTCATTTATATATATATATATATATATATATATATATATATATATATATATATATATATATATATATATATATATATATATATATATATATATATATATATATATATACATATATATACATATATATGCGATAGTGGTGTAGTGGTAGAGCGCTCGCTTCATAAACGAGTGGTTCCGAGTTCGATCCCCACCATGTCCCTGGTAGTACCGCGCCCAACTCGTTTCTTTGCGCAGCGGCCTTGTTCGTCAAGGTTCGTGTTTTGGAGTTATAGAGTTGAGAGAGGGTTATAGCCACAAATAAGTAGCCTCCTCGTCTGTAGTGGCCTTCTCGGCCTTGAGGAGGTGAATTAAAATAAAAAAAATAAAATAAAATAAAAAATATATGTGTTGTTTAATTTTTTTATTTTTATTTATCGGTTTGAAAGTAAGGTTTTAGGTATTGCATTATTTTCTATTATTAAAAAGTCAATGAGTTCAATAAATGTTCAATAAATATTTATAATTCTCAAAATTATATGTAGTCAAAAAATATATAATATTATATATTACCTATAATCTATAATATTATATATTGTCTATAATTTATAATATTATATATATTTTATGATTATTTTATGAAATTAAATAATCATAAAATATCTTTTAATATTTTATTTTATAGGTTTTATTGTGGCACAGATTTATTTAGGATGGCTAGTACAATTTGTTTATAAAAGTTTTTTACAAATCTTCAGCTCAAACACATGTTGTTTTAACTTACACATTTGTACCCATTTTAATGTAGTGTTAAGACATGTTTACAAAGAATTTAGTTTTGAACATAATGAAATGAGCTTTGAAAAGAGAAATAAAAATTTTAAAACATTAAAGCAATAAGTCAAGTTTCTATAGAAAAAATGAAATTTTATTATTAAATAAAATTGCATTGAAGTTTTTTTATTGTATTTATATAAAGTTAATAGATGAAGTGGAAAAAGAAATCAATTTTTATTTAGTTTAAATGCTATGGGATGTTAAACATAGTAATTAATTTTATAATTAGTAATGAATCACTCAATTATATTTACAAATAAATAATTCAATTATATAATTATATAATTATATAAGTTATAGTAAATCAAACTTGATTATATAATTTATAATTATATAATTATAATTATATATAATATAATTATATAATTTTTAGTAAATTAAACTCAATTATAGAATTTATGGAAAATAATTAATCATTCAATAAATGCAGCATTTATTACAGTTATGTGGATCTGAAATAAGCTCACCTATATGAATTTTATACAAGAAAAATAAAGTCTGAATTTATATTTACAAAATTTATCAAAAAAAAATAGTTTTCTTTTTTTTTTATATATACTAATTTACTCCTTACAAGGCACCAAGCAACTAGTGTTATGTTTGGAGTTGCTAGAAAATAAAGAATAGAATTAAATAAAATTAAAGGAAATAGTTGGCAGAAGATTTGAAAAGTTGCAGTTTGTATGATTCAGGAAAACATAAAGATTAGAGAAAGTTTCAAAGAATTATTGTGTAAGGAAGAAAAGCTAAATGAATAGATATTTTTTGGACATGATACGAAAGAAGCAGTAAAAATGATGCAATTTTGCTAAATGACAAGTCAAGCAAGAATGAGTTTTAATTGATAGAACTAGAGATGTAGAAAAGAGAAAGAGATGCGATCCTACAACAATGGGTGATTAGCTCAAGCTTGGCAGATAAAACAATTCCAACTACATTTGCAATGCGTTTTTAGACCTTGTCTAGAAAATAAAGAACATAATTAGAAGAACCAACCGAGAAATAACATGAAATGTACATGAAATCAAGGTAAAGAATAGAGGTAGAAAATGGAATCAAGAAAAAGAAAATGGCTTGCACAATAGAGAGAAAGCAATCGTAGCAGATGCTACCATTGCAATATACTGTATGGTTTCCATGCTTAGTCTGCAGTGAATTATAATTCAAGAAGGCATAGAGTAGATGATTCAATGAGAAGGTTGCCTATCATCAATATCGGAATGTTGACAATATTGGGATAGTTGTTTACATTAAATAACTAACAAATTAATTTTGTTGGAATTAAAATTCACAAACCCTTAACTATCCCTTAACTACTTAAACCTGGTGTTAAAATTAAGTATAAAATTAGTTTCTATTTAGAAACTAATTTTCTGATCAGCTACAAACTAATTTTCCCTTGTAAATTATGTTATAAATTCAGACTATTTTCATTATATATATATATTATATATAAATTTATTTCAAGCTTACATACTTGCAATAAACATTGCATCAAGTGATAAAATCAATCATTACATCAAAACAATACAACAAATTCTAACTCTAATCTAATTGTAATGTCTTATTGTTTAGCTAAATTGTAGAAATTTTTTTTGCATTTTGTTTGATAACTTTGTATTAAAAAAGTTTAAAAAGATTATTTTTTTTTTGAAAAAAATCAAACTCAAACTATGTGAGCGACATAAAAACAAGGCGACATAAAAACAACAACAAGCATAAGTCTATATATGGCATCACCCAAGGGTTTGATCCCATAAAAATGGCATTTAGTCCTTTCACTCAAGAACTGAAACCACTACTCCATAAAAGGTAATACTGTAAAAAAAATCAAACTAAAATTAATATTGAAAATCTAAATATTGGAGAATATTTAAAGTTATTACTTAAACTTTAAAGTTAATAAACTACTTTTTATGTTTATTAAAACTTAAATTTTTTTAAAGATAAAATTTTAGTTGATTGTGTTTTTATTGAATCTAAAAGTTGTCTTGATTATTTATGATTTAATCTAAAGAAAATTTAGATTACAAGTTAGAACAATTTGAACAGCAAGTTACTTGCAACTCAAATATAAGCTGAAACTGTTTATCTAAAAATGTCCTATATTTTCACAACACATTCTTTAAAATCCAACAAAACGCTTTTGAGTTAAAAAAATATTTTAAAAGAAAAAGATTCAAATTATTTTGCTAGATTTAAAAAATAATAAAACTTGTTTTATTATCTTTTAAAAATTTTTATTTTAGCTGGTCGCACTGTTGAAGATGATGAGTTGGAAGAAATGATTGAAAGCGGAAATCCAACTATTTTTACGCAAGGGGTATGTGCTTTTGTAATATTTTTTTAATATATTGTGTGTACAGGTAGAAGTATCACTTTTAAGAATTTTACATCATAAGAAAATGGATTCTCAAATGAGAAGTTGTGCTTGCCTAGAGTTTATTACTCTTGTCAAGACTTTATTACTTTTCCCTTATGTCCTTATGTCCTTTTTCCTTATGTCGCTTACATTTTTAAGGTTTTTGTGCAACGTTCTTTTTCGCTATCATTTATTATTCTATTATTATTATGATTTTGGGTTTCGCGGGTTACTCATTTTCCTACACTTTTGATTGGTTATCATATTTCGAATGAGGTATTATAGTTTTTAAATAAAGAATTTTACATCATAAGAAAATGGATTCTCAAATGAGAAGTTGTACTTGCCAAGAGTTTATTACTCTTGCCAAGACTTTATTACTTTTCCCATAAGTAATAAAATAATCTATTGTTACTTAAACTGCTGTTAAAACATTGCCTCATCTTTTCTTTTTTTTAAAAAAGTTTGCTTAAGTCAATACTTTAAACAATTTCAAAGGAAGCGTTGGATTCAAAGCAAGTTTGTGTAACAAATTTAATAAATTTGTGCTATGTTTTGCACAAGCTTGATATTTATTCTAGTGACTGATGTGACAAATAACTAGAATATGACAAATAACAAGATGTGACAAATAACTAGGGATCGCAATCCCGTGCATGAATTACGATTCTGGGATTTTGGGATTGAAGTAAATAAAATCCCCGGATCCCGGTATCCCGGGATTTTATATAATGTGAGTTATTTGCTAAAAAACAGATCTTAATACTGCATATATGAATATACTTTTTGATGTTATCAATTTTTTATTTAATTTCATTATGTTTTAATGACTTACATTAATTTTCTACGGCTCCTTAAATTGTTTTAATTGTGTAACAGGCAGCAGGTGTATATAAAGATCTTAAAATAATGCAGAAATATATATACGGTACCTTCCATATTATGTTTTAAGATTACAGACTTTACAGAATAACCTTCATCAAATAATTGGATATGTAAATAACATTTGAACATTTAAAGTGTATTTGACTAAAGTAACTAAACAATCAAAATTTCAAAATAAATTTGTAAACATAAATTTTCTTAAATTTGGGTACCGATGTAGCTGCTGTAGCAACAAGCTACTTCGTAAAAAATAACACAATAAGTTGTTTGTTAATATTGAGAGACTAAAGCTGTCATTCGAGCCAGTGTTTCGTCTAAGGTTTTTTTTTTTCGGATGCAAAGTAACTCGTTATTCTTCGTTTCGTAGGAGGCTTCTCGTCGGTTCTGGCATCATTCAACTGTTGACTCGACCTAGGTAAATTTTTGTCGGCTGAAGTTACTTTCAAATTATGCTTAGTTGATAAGTGCGTATAAAGGCCTTTTGTAGAACCACCCAATGTTTTCAAAATTACACCACATTTCTTACATTTTGCTGCCAAATTATCCGCAGACTTCAAATAATGTGACCACACTGAAGTTGGGTCTTTATCTTTTTTGTGTAGAAAAAATGATGTTCCCTTTTCACTGTTTTCATTCATGTTTAGAAGGATATTTTTTTTAAGGTGCATTAGTAAACAACATATTATTGCGGTAAACAACAAAAGCATTAAAAAGGTTATCAGTTCAAAACATTCAAAACGATTCATTCCACAGTCAAATTTTGTATGTATTCACACTAGAATTCCTTCATACGGAATTAATTATCAAGGGCATTATAATGTTGCAATAACTAATAATTGTACAAATATAATTATACAAATCGCTAGAAATATGCCTTAATTTGTGTTTGTGAAACTTTTTTCAATGATAAAATCCCGAACTCCATGGTCTATTCAAAAATTTGTTCCATTTATTGTAAGGATAAAGCATAAACAGGATAAACTTGCAAAGCAGCATTATATAACTCGTTAAAATTCAGTATGGTTACCAACTTTGAACATTTTGTTTTACAAAATAATTTAATTAGTTCAATCCTGCTATAATCCCAGAAATCCCGGGATTTTGTGTTTAGAATCCCGGGATTTTCGGGACCCAAAAACGTCCGGGATCCCGGGATTGCAATCCCTACAAATAACTAGAATATGACAAATAACAAGATGTGACAAATAACAAGATGTGACAAATAACAAGATGTGACAAATAACAAGATATGACAAATAACAAGATATGACAAATAACAAGATGTGACAAATAACAAGATATGACAAATAACAAGATGTGACAAATAACAAGATGTGACAAATAACATTTTTATTGGGTGGACATCGAAAAATTTATTGGGTGGACATGGAAAAATCTGGTTAACTTTTTAATTAAGGTTTATCTAAAACCTTCTAAGCTTTTTGTTTCTAACTTTTTTTTTATATTAAATGTGTCTACAATAATTATCATTTCAACTTAATTTTAATTTTTCTTTTTTTTTTTTTCACTTTTGCACTCCACCTGTTTTACAAAATATTCCTTTAACTACTGCCCAAAAATCTTCACTCTTCGGCTCTTTTGACTGGAAGATTTGCAACTTTAGGAAGAATTGCCTCATTATTATTTTTGCGCCACTGTAAAACTTTTGTAGAATAGTGAGAAGCAGCTAGATTAGGCCAATAGTGACATTGTTATTTTAGGCTTTTTATCAATGGCAAAACATTTTTTGAAGTTGTTCTTTGATGTAGACTCAGCAGTCTTTGTTCTCATGATAAAGTTGTTGACCTGGTAGTTGTAAATAATCTGTCTTGTATAACTTTCATCATTTTTTATAAATTTACATTTATTTTCATCCAACATAATTTTTATTAATATTTTTGTGCGTCATATTCCTTCGAATTTCACCATATTAATTTCAACATCTAAGTTTCTCAAAGGTGTATTTTTTTATGAAATGCTTTATTTCCAGCATTTTTAGTACTTTTTTTGATACAAAATTGTGAAGTCTTGAATTTTCTTGCTAGATCTCTTTATGTCTGGTTTGAATTTTTTGCTATTGAACTGAGAATTGACTTTAACATTGTAAATTTATAGAAAGTTTTCTTTCACTTCCGGGTTTTCTTTAGAAGCTTTGAGTAGTCTTTAACTTAAAATATTTAAGACTGTAGATTTTGGTACATTTATATGTTTAGTGATCATGCAATATGAATCTGAACTTTTTTACTTACCTCAGTTTGTTTCCGCAACATTTTGAAAATAATTGATTTTAAAAAGTTTATTATCACAATTAAAGAAAAGGAAGCAAAATTTAATTAAAAATAAGTTTAAAATAAAAAGCTTTTATGGTTTTTGAGAAATTCAAAATTGATCGGATTTTTTCCTGTCCACCCAATAATAATCATCTGATGTTGTTATAAACGTTTTACAACTTACAACAATTTTTATTAATGTTCAAAAATAATTTTTTTGTATTATTTATATTATTTAAATAATTTGATTTTAGATAATAATTGAGACACAGCAAGCAAAACAATCGTTGCGAGAAATTGAAGCTAGACATAATGATATTATAAAATTGGAAAACAGTATAAAGGTAAATATTAGTTTTTATAAAAATATTATTTGTTATAAGAGTTAATGTTTGAGATTAGTAAAGTTTACCATGATAAGAAACGCATGATCCGTAAAGCGGCTATTGATAAGAAACCCATGATTCCAAAAAATCATGCAGACTCTGTCTAGTTAAGGCAATTATAAAATATTATAGCGTCTGTTGTTGACATAATACCGTTATGTGATTAGGTCTGTGAATTATGAAATGACAAAAGCATTTTAACTGCAGATGAACCATACAGACAATATTATGTTAAAGTTATAGAAGTAAGTTACGCAAATTTGTTCCAGCAATGAGGAAAAAAAAAAAAATGAAATTATATTTGATAAGATGAATACATTGCTATGAGGATGATTAGCAAATACTTTAAAGCGGTTGAGTAGAGACAACAGCAGTGGAGACTCAATGGAGCTGTGGAGACTCAACCAATGCAAACACTAGTTTGCAGTAATAGAGTAATGTACTTAAAAGAAGCAGAAATTAAGACAAAAGTTAAATTGGATTGTCTATGTTTTGCGCACCAATCAATTGTCAATTAAACATTTGATTAAATTGTTGCACGACAACTAATGGCATTAAAATGCATGTAGTTTTTATGGATCTATATGAAGCATTTCATGTTTAATTTTTAAATAACCTTATTTTACAGTTTTAACCGGGCCAGTTGGGCTTAACCCTCCTGTTTTTTATAAAAGTTAAGTTATTTTTTAAGAAAAAGCAGACATTTTTTTCAGCTTTTAAAATTAGAATTAAAAATTTACAATTTTTTTTGTTACCACCTCGCAAAAGTTAAGTAGTATGTGTTTTTAGCTGCACAGATTTTATGTATATGTAATACATTGGCTATTCCAAAACATGTATACAGTCCTCCGTTTAACCAGCGCTTTTGCGCTCAAGTCTAATTTCTCTCGCCCACACACCCGCAAAAAACTTGGCAAGCACATAAAAAAGCGCTTGCCAAAAAAAATAATAAAATTTTAAATTGCAACAAAACTTTTTTGTTCATTTCTTCAACTTTTAAGATAAAATGCTTTTTTTTTGCCATTGTTTTTTTTTAATTATTTTATCTAGTATTTATTCAAAGCATTCTTTTTGCTATTTTTATTTTTATTTAAATAACAAAAAAGTTTTAAAAGATATAAAAATGAATTTTTTAAATCGTGCAAGCTAACTTAAAAAATACCATTCTGCCAGCACTTTCTTGTGCGCTGGCATTAAATTTCAAATGGAGAAGACTGTGTATATTGATATTCCAAAAGCAGAGAGTTGTATGTAAATATAATATGTACAGCCTGTGTATTTTAAAATTGAGTATATAAAAGAGTGTTTTTATTTTTTTGATTTGTTATCTTTATTGTTGTGTTCTTTATTTTTATTGATTTGCTTTATAAGATTTAAAAAAAAAAATCTTTTTGTTGTGTACATTAATTTAATAATTAATTAAAATTAGTAATTTTTATTTTTAAGGAATTATTTTTGCATTTTAATAAATTAATTTTATATTTAGGAATTGCATGAAATGTTCACAGATATGGCATTGTTAGTTCAAAGTCAGGTTTGTTTCTTTACTATTGACAAAACTTTTTAAATTTCCCGAATATTTTATTTGTTTAATGATTTGTGATCAAAGGGAGAAATGATAGACAGAATTGAACACAATGTTGAACAAGCTGCAGAATTTGTTCAAAAAGCCGTAGTGGATACAAAGAAAGCTGTTAAATACCAAAGCAAAGCTCGTAGAGTAAGTTGTTATTTATATGGTAATTGTTCATATATTTTTTTATATTTTTAGTTATTTAATTTTATATAAAAATTCATTTTTTACATTTACATGTTATAGTTCAATGTTTTTATTTAGTCGAAAGTTTGAAATTTTTACTTAAATAGCCATAATAATAAAAACAATTTTTTTTACTTGTGTTAATTTATGAATATTAATATATAATTACATTAAACATACTAAGTAATTCAGACAGAACCCTGAGAAATTCCACTTTTGAATGAATTAAGCTGATGAATGACTAAATGATACTTAAGACCCATAATTTTATTAAAAATCATTACTAAAACATTTAATTTTAAATGTTTTAATTTAAGAAGAGAAGGAAGAGCAACAAAATGATTGACATTAAAAACACTGTTGATAAATATTTTATGATCCAGGAAAGTATGAGAGAAAATATTTTATGATCCAGGAAAGTTTTTTTAACAATTTCATTGTTTTATTATTTTTAATTTTAACTTCATTGTTTAATTTTTACCTACTCATTTAAATGAGAATACTGTTTATTGGTTTGTAATTCTCCATACAGAACTTATGATATTCAAGTTTAAAAGTCAAAGTGATTTCAGATCACAGAATTCTTATTTATACTAATTTTCATTTTTAAAGTATTGCTTTAAAAAAGTATAAATTGATGTATAAGTATTAGAGTTCCTAATGGCTCAATACATATTAACATATATAAACTCACATTACTCCACTTAACTGTGCTGTAAACTTAAAAAAAAAAATGCATCTTTCTATCTTAAAACTAATTGAACCTAATTATCTAGTAGCTTTTCTTCCAGATAAAACATTTTCTATATGTTAGAGCATATTATAGCTTTTATTTCAAATTTTAAAATTTTTGATAAAAATCTCTGTTTAAATGCCATTTAAAATCAAAAGTATATTCAAGTATTTGCCTAGTAAGCTGATAATTAAAATTTATAGAGCTGTTTTAAACACGTATAACAAAAAGCAACCTTTAATCTAGTGTCATTTTGTTATGTAATACCATTTAAATTGATTTTAATACAAGTTAAATTGGTTTTCAAAACCACAATACATTTTAGAATACTACTCTTTTTTTTTTTTTTTTTATATTTGTTGTTTTTCATACAGAATCATTGTACTTAGAGACCTCCAGTCTTCTCCAGACCTCTTTTATTTTCAAAACTATTTTTGAGCTCTAATAAAAGGGTAATTTATGATCATCTTGTGTTACAATCATAATCGTTGTATTACTAATTTAGTAAATAAAAAAATTTATGAAACTTTCTATAATTTTGGTTGATCTAATTTGTAATCGTAAATCTTTTATTAAAGTTCAAAAGTAGTTGTAAGTTGGAGGCTTTTAAGCTGATTCTGTATGAAACACAACAAAAGCGTTATATGTTTTTAACATCCAGGACAAAAATCCTCATTTTTAACACCCTTAATTAAATTACGCAAAAAAAAATGCAAAAACAAGATTTCTTTAATTAAAGGTGCTTAAATTATTATTAAAGATATTTCTGTACAAAGATTTTTTATAAAACAGTTTGTTGCCATATGAATTATAAGTTTTAGCGAGATCCCAAACGACTCCAATACACATCCAAATTGTTAAAACAGTTGTTTTTTGCTTTAATTGTGAAAGTTTTGAGCTGGTTATCTTGATTGCTGGATTTGAAATTAACAGATAATATAACAATAACTCAACACTTAATGTGAAATTAGTAAATAATGTAAAATGAATAAATAATATAATCTTTTATCTTGATAATAATAATAACTCAATATATATTATATATAACAATAACAATAATACAATAATAATTGAAATTAATAGATAGTTATTAGACATATTGTATTTATATTAATAGACATTTTTTTATATATATCTATAACTAGGGAAATTCTAGAGCATCAAGTTGTTTTTTTTTATTATGATTCACTCCTAACAAAGCTGCAAGCAACAACTATTAAGTTGGGAGTTACTAGAAAATAAAGAAGAGAGTTCAAAAGCAAAGAAAGGGTTGACAGAAGACTTTAAAAGTTGTAGGCTGTATGAGTCAGGAAAACATGAAGATAGGAGAGAGTTTTTAATGGATGAAGTTCGGCAAAAAACTAGGCAAATAAAAGTTTTTAGAACATGCAGAAATAGATACAGTAAAAGGATGAGACTTTTCTGAATAGATAAAAGTTTCTTTGCGCATCAACCAGCAAAATTGAAAGAGACACGACCTTATGATGATGGAACCAGCAAAATTGAAAGAGACACGACCTTATGATGATGGAACCAGCAAAATTGAAAGAGACACGACCTTATGATGATGCAACCAGCAAAATTGAAAGAGACACGACCTTATGATGATGCAACCAGCAAAATTGAAAGAGACACGACCTTATGATGATGCAACCAGCAAAATTGAAAGAGACACAACCTTATGATGATGGAAGACCTTATGATGACACGACCTTATGATGATGGAAGAGAGGCTCAAGCTTGGCAGATAGAACAGCAAAAATTAAAATGTGTTTTTTGACCCAGCTACAATTACAATTCGTTAGTTTGATGTCTAGAGCAAAAAGGCTATTAGAAGAACCAGCCCAAATATGACTACAGTATTCCAAATATGATAACAGTATTCCATATATAAAAAAGGCGAATAAGAGTTGTAGAGGTAGAGAATAATATCAGGAGTAAGAAAATGGTGAGCACGATATCAAAGAAGCAACTTTAGCAGATGTTAAATTTGTAATCTATTATATATATCATTTTCATGAGAAGCCAGTAGTGAATTCATCAATATTAAATGTCACCAGTATTGCGATAGTTGTTTGGAGTAAATAACTGGGTTTTGTTAGAGTTAAAATTCACAAGCCACTGCAAGCATTAATCTGTTACAGAAGTGAGATCAGATTCAAGATCTCTGTTCTAAGCCTGCCTGCCTGTTCTAAGCGATCGGTAATAAAAGATTTTTGTCAAGACAGGAGTTGACTCATCAGCAAATAAAGCGACCTAGATGTAGGATTGTCAGGAAGATCATTAATGTAGGTAAGAAACAAAACAGGACCAAGGATAGAACCTTGGGCTCCCCCAGAAGTTACTGAAAATGAAGAAGAGTGTTGACCTTCGATGATGACTTTAATAAAGCGGTTAGAAAAAAATGATTTTATAATCTCAAAAACTTTCCCAAATACACCATATGAAGCAAGCTTATGGAGAAGACTAGTATGTTAAACTTTGTCAAAAGCTTCAGATATGCCAAAAGCAATAGCCCTAGCCTCTCTAGCTTTATCTAATGCACAATAAAATATTTTGTTAACAGCAGTTAGCAAGTCATCTGAAAAGCTAGAAGATTAAGAACTGTATTGTTTGTCTGGCAGTAAGTTATTTAAATCAAGATGGGAGATTAGAAATTTCTTACAAACACTTAAAGGCCTTGGTAATAACAGAAAGAAGACTGATCAAGTGATACTTGGATAGTTGATAGTGGGGTTAGAATGTTTTCCAGAGATTTTAAAAATTGGAACCACAGATGCCATTTTCCAGCAGGAAAACAAGATTCAGATTCAACAAATTCAGTTTAAAAAAAATAGATAAACATATTCAAATAAAGTGGCATCATTTAAATAATTGAAGATTAAATGAGATATTAATTAATTAATTTTATCCTAATTTTGATAAATTGCTGTCTTTTTTCACTTGCAAAATGTTTTAAAATGTTATTCAGGTATTATTATAGAACATGTGGATCTTTTCCTGTTACAAAATGGCTGCAAACTATTGCAAATGTAAATATAATAGTTGTATTAATGACCACATTCACAAACACATATTTTTAATTTTTTAATTTCACAATTATTTTTAATTTTAAGCATTATAATCCTAATTTTATAATATTATAACATTTTTATATTATTATGTTTTTTTTTTGTTTTTTTTTGTAAAAGAAACTTAACTGTGTTTTTGGTCAAAGGTCATGACTTTTTAAAGACACAAAAGTCCAAAAGATGTTTTAGTGTCAAAGAGGCACTTTAGTGTCCAGAAGACACTTAAGTGTCCAGAAGACACTTTAGTGTCCAGAAGACACTTTAATGTCCAGAAGCAATAAAAACAAGAATTTAGGGTTTTAGATAAAAAAATTTGAGCATTTAGTGAACATGATACAATATCAATTTAGCCTTTTAACCAAGTGTCCTTATGTATGATTACCAGAAAGTGACTCAAGAATTCTAGACTAAAATATATTTGGTTTAAAGAATTTTATGTATTTTTATTTCAATATAGTCTATATATCTCTTAACATTTTTGGAGCTCATTAACAACAGAGACAAAAAATAAATAGCAAATCAAAATCTGAATACTATTTGAGAATTTTCATTCCTTGTCAGTGTTGAAGTCATTGAAAATTAGCGTTAAGTAACCATTGTAATCTTTAACATAGGGTATAATAAAAAACTGTCTTTGGTTTATAGTATATTCCCTAGGCTTCAGGATTAGTTGTGCATACTCTTCCCTGCTCAAGTTTTAAAGTTATCATATCATTCAGTTTGAAATTTACTTTTTATATGCCAACAATTTTGTTTTTCTTTTAAATTAAATTTGTAAAAACTGCATACATTTAGTGTTAGTTGATCTGTAATTTTTTTTTAGAAAAAATTTCTAATCGCTGTATGCTGTTTGGTGTTGTTACTTATAATTGCTTTAGCACTTTATTTCAGTCTCAGGTAAGAATTAACACAAATAAATTGTGTTGTCTATTTATGAAATTTTTATTCTAATATTTATTCAAGAATTTACAAGTACAATAAAAGTAGGAATTGTGTTGTTTGTTTTGGGTACTATTTTATTATAAAAATTAATTTTTAATATAAGTTTGAAATTTAATAAATTTTTATGTTTTTTATTTTTAAAATTAATTTTTAATATAAGTTTGAAATTTAGTAAATTTCCATGTTTTTTATTTTTAAAATTAGCTTTTAATATAAGTTTGAAATTAACTTGCATATTTTTTGTTTGATGTTTAAATACTTTTATTAATTCAAAACATAAAAAAAAAATTCAATTTTATTTAGAAAATAATAACTGCAATAAGTTTCTTTCTGTTTGTGGATGATTGCATTGGTTGCATTTGTGTATTTGTAATTCAAGAAAGCAGATTTCGGTTTGGATTATTGGAATCATACGAGATTCTAAAATGCTAAAATTTTGAGGCAAGTTAACTGCAATTTCCAAATTAGCTTGCAACCTGATGACTGAAAGCTTTTTTTGGGAAAGCTCTATATAAACTTATTAGTGTCAATAATCTTATAAAATGTTTGATTGTAAATGAAATAAGGTATGGTACCTTGTATAGATTTTTTTATATATCAATGATTTTTTTTATTATCAGATGTTTTGCAAATAGTCTGATTATTTATGGTTTAATTTTTGTTTTTTTCGATTTACATTAATAATATAAGTTAAAAATTTTACTCTTTACCAAATTTTTCATTTTATCTGCTTGAATGAATATAAACTTATTTTACTATAAATATAACAATTTTTTTAAATAACTTTTTTTTTTTGTTGGTAAAATATTATAGGTCATTTATATTTTTGTTAATAAAAACAATAACTTGTTATATTTTGTTTTATTAATGGTAATATTTTTGTAACTGAAGTGTTTACGTTTTCCATTTTCAAATTTTATTTAAAAATTCTTTTCTTTTGTTTATGTTATTTTATTTTCATCTCCTGTTTTTTATGTTGAAATAAAGAACCTGATTTAAATAGTCTTACTTGTGCAACCTGTGAAATAACATGTAAAGTATGAATGTTATTAAATGATCAGTTATCCATGAATGTTAATTTTAAAGATTTTTTTGTTGTTTATTTGTATTTATTTTTGTATGCACTGTTTTAGAGTTTCTAATAAATAAGTTCCAAACAGTTGGTTTGTAAATAATATTTGTTTTTATTTCCATTTCCTTGTTAAGCAAAATATTTATTTGCTAAATATATATTTAGTATTTTATTTATTTGATATTTAAAAGAATGTCTAATATTTGTTTTGTATACAATGTTTATTTGATATTTTAAATATTTATTTGGTATGCTAAATATTTATTTGAGGTACTAAATATTTGTTTGGCATACTAAATATTTGTTTGGTGTAATAGATATTTGTTTGGTGTGTGTGCCAAATATTAAGTTGCTATCTTAAATAACAAAATCACAAGTTGACCTTTGTGTTAAGAAAGTTTTTAGTGTAATTAAATGCACAAGTTTCACCTCTTATATCTAATCTAGAAACAATTTTGAAGTTTTTTCTCTTATATTTAATTAAATAGACCTTTTTCTGGTTTGAATTGCAACTGGTTTGAATTTTTTAAAAACTTTAACTTTATATTTTCATTTATTATTATTATTTTTTAATAGTTTATTTGATATTATAGATATTTTAATTCTGATATTCTGAAATTATCTTGTGTTTACCAAAACCTTCTGAATATTCCAGAAGTTCTAAGTTGATTATACCTAAAGGCATAAAACTATTGTGTGTAGCTTTTCTCATGGTTTTGTTTGTGATTTAATTTTTTTTTTTGATAAACATGATCTAAGTAAGAGTTATTTACTTGTCATTACTTCAGCTATTCACAGATAATACAAATCTCCCTCACATTTACCTGTTGTCAGTTGCTAAACAACTATAATATTACTAAATTGCGACCAAACTTAATCCATCTATTAAAAGTATTTACATTAAAAACCAAGTTTTATCACCTTATAATGTATAATCACCCTGAAGTATGGTTACTACTATCAGAAATGGTTGTATATAAATGATGCATTTATTTGGTATATTACATAACAATTTTTTTCAGTGTTATGGTTTTCAATAATTGCATTTATAACTCTTTATTATCTTTATAGCTCCTGAAGTTAAGTATTAGTATTCAGTAATATTTTATCATTAATTATATTTTTTAATCTTTTTAGGGTGCAGAAAATATTTTTTTTAAATTATGATCAAATATATAACAGTATTAATAATTATTAAGAATATTTCATAAAGTTTTCATAAAGAATTTTATAAAGAACTTTTTTTGGGTCTAATAGAATCCTATTAGTTCTAAAAGTTTATAAAACCCTAACCAGCTGTGTATCAGGTTGTTATATTACCAGATATTTATCAGGTTGTTATATGACCAGATGTTTATCAGGTTGTTATGTGACCAGATATTTATCAGGTTGTTTTATATACAAATGTTTATCAGGTTGTTATATTAGGATTAAAAAAATTGACTCTATTTTTTATTTTAAATATTATTTTTTACAATTTATTAAAAATTTTGTTATGTATTTGATATCTTAGGTAACCATGGTTGCCTGCATATTGAAATTATGGTGTAGTAAAACACAGGCTTGCTAGAGCCATGCAGCATAAAGCTGCAGGTTTATGCTAGGCCAGGAGCTGAGAAAAACTAAAAAAAGTAAAAGAAAAATGTAAACAAGTTATTAGCAAAAATTTTAAAATTACAAATTTGTTTTATTATTGTTGGAGCTATTTTTAAATTATATGAAATAATAATATTAATAAATATAAAAGAATGTTTGTTACGTTTCTTTTTATTATTTTTTTAAATATTTAAATGCAATTAAAAAGTAATAAATTTTTTATAACTTCTATTTTATTAAGTCAGGGGTTAAGCTGCAGTTATGACATTGTTGTTAAAAACAAGCTATGGAAATAAATTCCACAATTTTCCACAATCCTGCCTGATATACCTGTTTTTTAAAAACTCTATCTGCTTCTGCTTTTAAAAAGTTAATAATAATAAAATTGTTAATTTCAGTGCTTTTTATTACATTTTTTAAACTAATACAAATGACAAAGTTACTTTAGAAGATAATTTAATTAAAAGATTTTTCCTACATTTGAAGATGAAAGACAGATTACATGAGCTGCTAAGAGTATGTAAATTTAATATATCATTAAAGTATATTTAATGTAATGACCATCCTAATTCGGTTTAATAAAGTAAGTAAATTCTTGACTGAATTTGGAGCATTAAACAATGAATAATGTAAATCATAATTTTCTAATTTGTTTGATGGAGTAATAGTTTAAATTATGTATATATATGTATGTATGTATGTATGTATGTATGTATGTATGTATGTATGTATGTATGTATGTATGTATGTATGTATGTATGTATGTATGTATGTATGTATGTATGTATGTATGTATGTATGTATGTATGTATGCTATGTATGTATGTATGTATGTATGTATGTATGTATGTATGTATGTATGTATGTATGTATGTATGTATGTATGTATGTATGTATGTATGTATGTATGTATGTATGTATGTATGTATGTATGTATGTATGTATGTATGTATGTATGTATGTATATATATATATATATATAAAATTATATGTATAAAATTAATAGTAGAAAATTACTTAACAAAATTTTTTTTTATCATACAACACTGTGTTCATCAACAAAGACTCATCAGAAATAAATTAAAATTTTGTTAAGTGATTTTTTACTTATTTGTAATTGCTCTGTTCTTTTAAGAAAATTGAGTACTCTATTTTGTAGATTACATTTTAAAATTATATATATATATATATATATATATATATATATATATATATATATATATATATATATATATATATATATATATATATATATATATATATATATATATATATATATATATATATAACCCTGACAGACTGCCTGCCCAAACCAAACCCTCAGTCAATGTAGCAGCACACCCTTGCGAGTCAGGCTATTTGTCAGTCGATGTAGCAGCACTCCCTTGCGAGTCAGGCTATTTGTCAGTCAATGTAGCAGCACTCCCTTGCAAGTCAGGCTATTTGTCAGTTGATGTAGCAGCACTCCGTTGCGAGTCAGGCTATAAGATAGTTGATGTAGCAACACTCCCTTGTAGCAGCATGCTATAAGATAGTCGATGTAGCAACACTTATGCATGTTTTAAAAATGTTTTTTAATAAAACAAAAACAAAAACACCACTAATTAAAAAAAACTTTCTAGTCATTATTATTGCGGTTTTTTTAAAAAACAATAAAATTTAAAAGTTTTTGCTTATCCTAATAATTCTTTTTTTTTCAGTACTGACAAAACTGAAGTTTTAAGTTGGGGCAGGAACCTAATTTTTCATTATTCTTTATTTTTCTTTTTTTTTCTGAAAATTTAAGCGCACCATGTAAGAATTAAAATGCACAAAATATATTAGGAAATTGCGTCCTTAGGTACATTGTATCCATTGTATACATGCATAATAAATACTTAAATACATAATATCTGGTTGTAAAATATATATACATATATTTTATGACTTAATACCTTAGCTATATTATATAATAATATATCTTAAGTAATCAGTAATTTTACTGATGACAATAAGAAGTTGTTTTAGTTGATTTTCTGAAGCATTTGGTTCAATTATTTTGCCAATTTTTTTTCTCTATAAAATTTATGCTTATTGTTTCAATTAGTGTATTAACAAGTGAATAACCCTCTATTTCCAAACAGCAGGTTGATAACAAGTGGATAACCCTCTAATTCCAAACAGCAGGTTGTACTTAGAAAAAAAGCATTTGACTGGCCTAATGTTTGAAACGCTTCCTAGTTTATGCATTGGGTTGTGACTAATATTTTTATCAGCAATATGCCTGATCTTATTTATTATTAATTTTTGGCAATTTTTTGCTAACAATATTAAACTGTTTGCAATTATCTAAAAATATTATGATCTCCAGTGATTGAAAAATAATATCAACAGAGTTGTTGGCTAGAAATAATATCAACAGAGTAGTAGACTGGAAATAATATCAACAGAGTAGTAGATTGGAAATAATATCAACAGAATAGTAGACTGGAAATAATATCAACAGAGAATGGAAATAATATCAACAGAATTTAGTAAACTGGAAATAATATCAACAGAGTAGTAGAATATTCTCATACATTATCTTCTCAAAAACACATATTTTCATAGTTTTTCATGTTAATTAAACTAAAATAAAAAATCTATAAAGTAACATCCTTTTCTGACAACCTCCCCCCTCCCCTTGTCTTTTTTTGTCTTTTTTATCTTGACCCCCCCCCCTCCCCTGTTTGGATGATGTCTTTTATGGATGGTCCCATATGGTTTAATAGAGTTGTTTGTTTTATGTTTAATTTACATTTAATTGTGGTTTAACTCTTTCACTACCGCAAGCCTCATGTACTGGCTTTCGAGTATGCTTTTCTTTTTTACTAAATTTATGTACAAAACCAGGTATATAATTTATCTTGTTTTGTACATAAAATTCCATTCTAGATACACAGAATTTGTTTATTCTAAAGGTTTTATTAATTCTCTACATAATCAAGAAAAAGTAAGAGCTATATTGTGTGACTATAAAAAAGTTTTCACTTGACAAAGTTAAAAAATCTCATAAAAAAAACTTCTTTAAATTTAGTTATAAAATAAAACAGCGTTAACACTGTAAATTTAACTTGTAGAAGTGTTAAGTATTTAGTTAAGTAATTACCAAAGTCTTTTGAAGAAAAAGTATTATTTTTATTCATTAAATGAGTTTTGTTTCGGACTTAATGTTTTAGTTACTATTTATAAAAACAATGGTTTTTTTAAGCACTTTGTGTTTCTTATTGTTTAATGATGCCTGTTAAAAACTTATTTAGTTAAAAAGTACATTTATTTAGCTTTCTATTGATATATAGTTTGTTATGCTTTTAAAGAGGTTTACTATTCAATTTTTAATTAATTGTCAATGTTAAGCCATTCAAATTTTATTCAAAAAAATGTGCGGTACTTACGAAAAGATTTTTGTTCGGCATGTAGCGAGCGAGTTAATGCGATTCTTCGATTTTATATTTATAACTTTTTTTTGTATATTTTAGTACAAATATTTGTTTTAACTTTAATTTATTTTGATTTGTATGGTTATTAGTAAAATAATTTGTTTAATATTTATTTTCTACTTAGTTCAGTTTATATGTTTTATTCAAGTCACTGGTTTTTTTTAAAGAAGTTTTTTTTATGAGATTTTTTAACTTTGTCAAGTGAAAAGTTTTTACCTCAATTGATAAAAATATTGTTACTTTCAAAAAATTATACCTAATTAAAACTTACTTTAATTAATACACCACAATCAGTCTTCTCCGTTTGATAAGCGCTTTCGTTCTCTTGCAGTTTTTCCCTCACCCACATGCCCGCCAATACTATGGCTGGCGTTTTTTTAAGCACTCGCCAAAAAATTTCAAGCATGTTTTTAAATTGCAACAAATTTTTTTGTCAAATTCTAATTAAAGAGGTACAAAAAACAATTATTATTTAAAATCGCACATACTAGACAAATAATTACTGTCCAGCCAGCGCTTTTTCATGCGCTGGCGGTAAATTTCAAATGAAGAAGACAGCACAATAGATTTTTAAAAAAAGCTTTATATAAAGCTGCCTGATAAATTATAAATAGAAAAACTAACTTTAAAAAGTTAACTTTTTTCTGAGAGTGAGTATTGTCTCAAATCCAAGTGTTTTGATCTTCTCATCATCATTTATAACCATTGCACAGGGGAGTATTTGTATGACAAAATCGCGCAAAAATATTTTATGGATATTTTTTCAGTTTTCTATTTTGAAACACAGTATTTTATTTTAAGTTACACATTTAATATAAATAAAAAAATTTTAGAGAGTAATTTATTATTATGAAAATTTATTACTAAGAAAAAGACTTATTTGTTTTAAATTATTTGCGTATCAAATCTTCATTCTGAGATAATCATATTGACTGCCTCTTTTGAAAAAGGCAATGTTTTTATGTGCCTTTTTGATCTAGAACTACTTATGTATAGGTGTGAACTCAATAGCAGTCTATTTAATATGTCTGTATTGCAGTCAATACGAGACTAAAACTTTGTCTGTACTGTCAATAGTGTTTGTTTCTGGCTTTAGCTGCCTCCTCAGATAAATGGCCGATAGGGAGGGTTGCATGAGTTATTACTTCTGCACCATGCACCAAAACTTTATGCGTAGTTGGAGAAATGGGATACCAACCATACAGATTGGTATTCATTTTAGCAGTTTCATTAGCAAAAGTGTAGAATTTAACAGCATCAATTTTATATCCACTTGAAATGACTTTAAGAATAATGTGTAAACGTTTTATTAAATTCAAGTTAACACCAGTTATTTGTGAAGATAATTCCGGGTTTGAAAAAAATCTTCTTGATGTATTGCCATCATTGGTATTTCCAAACCCTGCTTTAGGTATATCTACTTGAAGTCCTAATTTTTCTTTGAAGGATGTTTGAATTTTCTTCTTTGCTTTATTTGACAATTTTTTTTTCCTTGTCTGATCAAGCTTGCCACTTTTGTAAAGGTATTTTATAAGCTAAATGAAAAAGTGATTCAAAGAAGTGGATCCTTGCATGAAGAATCGAGACTCCAAATGAGAGGGCTTCTGTATTGATTTGTTCTTTTTTTAATTATTTTATTAAAATTTTTTGATGTTTGTCCACAAATGTAGCACCTCATAGTAGATGTAGTATCAGTTGCAGCGTTATACACTTTACCATCTGCCATTGTAAAAAGCAAGGTATGCTTTATTTTTCTAATTTAATTGGGCTACTTTGTTTACCTAAGATTCATCATTTAGTTTTTTAAGTGATCTACCTCGTCCCTTGTTATATCTTTTGATTCACTAATGAAGCGTATTCAAATGGCTCTGCAGAAGCTTGGAGAATAGATGACTGAGAGAAAAGATGACTTCAAAGTAATTCAATGTTTGATTTGAGCCATTGTTTATGGTTTTTTATAAAACTTTTCTCTTTATAACATGCAGCTATCCATCTTTTTTTGAAATTGCTCTTAAAGAATTAAAATCTTTTTTGGCACTTTTTTGATTTCTTGATATTTCATAACTGTTTAAAGTTGTTCTTCCAAAAAAAATCTTTTCGAGTGAACTTTTTTACTTTAGAGGTCATTCCAGCTCAATTCAATTTATGCTTGGCACCATGCCATCTCAGATTTTGCTGATTTTTGGAATACAAGCTTGAATTAATAAAAAGAAACTTCACTCCAAATTTTAGTGTCTATCTCCTTACAGTTTCAGAGATATTGATACTTGATCCCAATCTCTTTTTTGCCTTTTTTTTTCAGCGCCATTTATTTTTTAGGCTCATTGCAAGACATGATTAGTTTTAACTTATGAAATACTTGTTAAATAGTGGTCGAAATTTCTAACTATTTAACAAGTAAATCTAACTATTTTTTAGGGTGAGGAACTTAAAAATGATGGCTAAAGCACACAAAAATTTAAGCTTCTGTATGAAAATTCAATTTCAAAATGGTGTAACACTTTTTGTATGTTTTTTGATGCTGTGTACAAAAAAAAAGTTTCAGAACTTTATCTTTTAGGCATCTCGAGATGTCTAAAAATTGATCAAACAATCTGATGTTTTAGCCAGACAATGTCTGATGTCCGACCGTTAAATTGATCAAACAATCTGATGTTTTAGCCAGACAATGTCTGATGTCCGACCGTTAAATTGATCAAACAATCTGATGTTTTAGCCAGACAATGTCTGATGTCCGACCGTTAAATTGATCAAACAATCTGATGTTTTAGCCAGACAATGTCTGATGTCCGACCGTTAAATTGATAAAACAATCTGATGTTTTAGCCAGACAATGTCTGATGTCCGACCGTTAAATTGAGCCCTGAAAGTTATGAACAATTTATAGATAGATTTTATCAGTTAGGAATAAAATATTTGTAAACATAAAATAAATAAATTAGGTCAAAAGAACTTGACAAGATGTTCAATAAATAATGAAACAAATAATTTTAAATGTATTTGTAAAAAAAATTATTTTAAACAAAAACATTTCTCCCTTTTTTTTTTTAAAAAAAAAAAGCTTTTTTATTTGCTTTCACATATTTAAATCTATGATGTTGAGACTTGTTTTATGTAATGAATTAGAAGTTGATAAGAATAGAATTTCTCTTTTAATAAATATTGCAAAACTATTTTACATTCATTTAAAACTAAAATTTACATTCTTCGTTTTTTGTTTTGTAAAAACATATAAACAGTGGTTTTATGATTTTGCCAAAAATACTGATAGTAAAACATCAGCAAATAAGATTTGCTGTAATCCACATTGGGGTTCTTACCTGACATGCTACCCTCTTTAGAGAAGTAGCCCATGTTGGGCTAGCATGCCGATATTATATTACAAAAAAGTATGATGACTAAATAATAGTGATGTGCCGATTGCAAAGGCCCATTGTGGATATTAATTGGTGTTAATGTATTTATATAAGGGTATTAAAATAATATTAGAGATCTAAAATACATAGATAACATATACCTATTTATCAGCAGTGACTCGGCCTACTAGCCTATGCCATTGGTAACCAGCAGCCAATTAATCGGCTGATGGCATCGGTTGAATAATCTGCATTGGCCGATGCATTGGCATTGGCTAATAAGCCAAAACCAAACTGGTGCATAGGTGCACTTTATATATGTTATTCCAATAATGCATTCATAATATTAATATATTACCTTTACATACATACATTAAACTCTATCAATAGCTTCAATCTGCCTTTGTCATCTGTACATCACTACTAAAAAAGTCCATTATGATGGAAATGCATATTCAAACTTTTTTAAAATTTTTTAAATTAAATTATTCACAGGAATGATTTTATTAACTGTAGAACTTACTAAACTTGAGTTTATTTTTTATTTTCTTAAGTTTTTTTCAACAAATGTTGGTTAACAAAATATTTTGGAATTTTTTTTAATGACAGGTACAACTTGCAAAGTATGTTGCATGCTTAATTCTTTTTTTTGATAAAAGGTTTTAAATTAAATCATACTACTCATTAAAATTTGTTTGGTTTTATCAGATAATGTTTCATTAATTATTTTTACAGTTGCAGCAAGATCTTCCTCCTGAATATAAAGAAACAAAACTAGATATGGAAGAAAAAAAAAAAGTAAAATTTTATTATAGTTTATATTCTTTCAACTGTTTTTAAGTAATTGCAAACCTTTGACCATATTTATATTAAACTAGCCTGTTTTATTGGTTACTTAGTATTGCTATTTTTAAGTTTGTTGGTTAGATGTATCCATGGAGTCCATTAGTATTGTTTTTTATATTTCAAAAAGGTTTTAAACCTATTATAATTAAAATATACTTTTCTTAACATTACATTTAAATGAATTACATTTAAAATAAGTTTTTAAAATTTAATTTATTTTAAAATAGTATTTATTTATCTAGCATACTTGTTTTAGTTTATTATTTGTTTTATATATTTTTGTAAAGATAGATAATGTTGCTATTTTTTTCTTCTTTTAATTGATAGATAAATGATATACAAAAGAATATACTTAGCATTCAAGAAAATGTTCAAGAAATAAAAAAAAAGCACAGCGCAATCTTATCTACTTTCCAACCAGAAAAGAGCGTTAAAGAAGAAATGAAGCAATTAATGGAAGAAATACAACAGAATGCTAAAAGAATTAAAGACAATCTTAAAAGTAAGTTATTGTTAATAAAAGTAATTTTTTTTTGTTATTCATTTTTATGTTAGCTATATTTTGTTTTTGTTGTCAGTGGCGTGCTGGCCCCAGAGGCATTGCGGGAATCCCGCTTGGGCCTATCGCTATTTATCCTAGAAGGGCCTTTTTTTTGAATTTTTATACCCTTTACTGCATTTTGAAAATGATTCACAAATGATATTTATTTGCTTTATTTTTTATTCCACAAGTTAAACTATTTAACAAATCTCTGATTCGATCTTCAAGCGCATATATATTAGTATTTTGCATAATAAAATGCAACCATTTGTAACTTTCCTCAAAACAAAGTAGATATTGGAAAAAATAATTGATCGTTACGTCACTCAAATCGCTTATTATATCATGATTATTATGAGAAATAATTGTGTTCAATTTTAGAGTATAGAAAAATGTTAATATTGATAAATTTTTTGTTAAATTAGAACAATTAATTGTTTTTACATAAACAAAGATCGTAATGTTTTTAAATATAAATAATTTGTGTGAGTTTTTATAAAATTGCTCTTATTGTATGTTCTACAGATATTTAAAAAGTAGTTTAATATTAAAACTACGAATTGCCTAACGAATGCCTAACGAATTTAAAAATTATATATATATATATATATATATATATATATATATATATATATATATATATATATATATATATATATATATATATATATATATATATATATATATATATATATATATATATATATATATATATATATATATATATATATATATATATATATATATATATATATATATATATATATATAGGCTTGGACATGAATGGCGTGCAATCGAGCGCTATTGCTGACCACACAAATGATTTTATTTTTTGACAACTTGACCATGATTGTTTAATAAACAATATTTATATGTTTTGATGAGTTAAAAATTTCAGAAATGTTCTAAATGTAGAAACGCTAAGCTAAACTTGACTAATTTCATGCTATAATTAGTGTCTAATTAAAAGAAAGGTTTTAAACTTTTTTATTCGTAAAAATAGAAAAAAAAAATAATAATAAAATGCGTCTGCGATTTAAATAAAATAAACTGCCAACAAGCTTTTCATTTAATTTTAATTTGAGCATTACAACTTTATTAATAAGCGCTTTGCCTAACGAATTTAAAAATTATTATATAAGATTTAATTTCATTCATTCCTTACGAAATTGAAAAAAAAAAACATTGTTTACAAAAAAAAAAAATGTTTATTTAAAACATTTAAAAAAATCGAAAGTTTAATCATAAAAATTAATCGTATGAACATTACAAAATGCTTTAAAACTTTTTCATTAAATTCAACAAAACATGCAACATGCTTTTATAAGTAAATAAAGTTATTTTATATTCTTGTGTAATTCACATAAAAAGTGTAAAAGTTAGTAGTCACAAAGGCTTTTGAACTTATTCACAAATTAAAGTAACTTAATTTGTCATAAAAAATAAATGCCTACATAAAAAAAACTTATTTATTACGTTTTTTATTAATTTACACAAGCGTTTATGTAAACAATAACTATAATTAATTTTATGGTTTTATTTAAAGCCTTAGCGTAAAATAAAAAACTTTAAAAAAGATCAACGATTAAAAGATTTATAACATAACACTTTTTATATTGCATTCAAATTGTTAAAACATCAAAATAGCCGTGTTCAAGTTGTAAAGAAATAAAAATATTAGCATGGTCAGTTACAGAGTGCGATCGCACGCCATTCCTGACTTATTAACCTTACAAAAAATGAGATTGGAAGAATTGCAAAATCTATTTTATCCAACATTAATTGCGAGCTGAAACAATTTTTGAACCAATGGCAAAACACTCAAAATATTATATATTGCTTTTAAACCATAAAAGATAAACAATTCTGTAAGCTTTTAGTCTTCGATATTAATGATTTTTATCCATCGATTAATGAAAACCTGCTGAAAAATGCATTATCCTTTGCAGAGCAACATTTAATAATAAATAGTGAGCAAAAGAGTTTTATACACCAATGAAGAAAATCATTATTATTTAGCAATGGAACTGATTGGATTAAGAAAAAGGGAGGATTATTCAGTGTCACTATGGGGGCCTTTGATGGCGTGGAGATTTGCGAATTAGTTGGTATTTTTATTTTGCATCAAGTCTCGCAATTTTATGATAAAAGTAATTTTGGTATATATCGAGATGACGGATTAACTAAATTTAGAAACAAAAGTGGTCAGGAAATGGAGAACATAAAAAAACATTTTGTACAAATCTTTAAAAATAACAATCTTTTAATCTCTATTAAATGTAATTTGAAAATAATTAACTATCTGGATTTAACGCTAAACGTTTACGATGCTTCTTTTCAACCCTACCGCAAACCAGATAATATACTTAATTACATACATACTAGCTGTAATCACCCACCGAGTGTAATAAAAAGTGTTCCTAAAACCATTGAGTTAAGATTATCAGCAGCATCGTCAACTGAATCGATTTTTAAAGAAAGTATTCCTTATCAAGAAGCCCTGAAAAAATCTGGATACACTTGCAAACTTGCATACCATCCAAGTATAAAATCTTCAAACAGTAATCATAAACATAAATTAATTTGGTATAATCCTCCTTTCAGTGCAAATATTGTAACAAAAATAGGTAAATATTTTTTAATCTTAAGGCGTTTTGAAAAACGGCTGCAGTATGGATGATACAACGAATATGTTGAAATGAGATAATTTGACGCAAAATTTAAAAGCTCTTAACAAAAGCCACTAAACCAAAAAGCTTAAATATAATTGCTTAAAAATTTTATTATAGTAAAAATTTTAATTTTAGTGAATATAGTAATTGTAGTTCAAAGTTTTATTATAGCACTTAAAATTTCTATTATAGTGCGTTGGTTTTTGCAAAGAAACGCTATATGAATCATTTTTTAATTTTAATACAAACTAATTTTTTTTTAACTTTGTTGCGATTAACCGTCTCTTTATAAACAATGCATATATAAACATATATGCTATTTGTTTATATATATACTAGCTGGGGGGACCCGTAAAATACGGGTCTTTACCGAACCGACCATTTTTATACTTATCTATAGCTATCCGGACGTAAACTAAGGGTCTTAGTAAATCTATTCCACACCGACCTTTTCTATACTTATTCCTTACCTCAATATTTTTATAAAACTGTTTAAAAATGTACATATAAAAAACTATACTTACTTTTTGATATGACAAAAACATTTCTGTTAAAATGTTCTTTTAAAAACTTCAAACGATTTTAATATTATGCCGATTATAAAAATTTTAATAAGAAAAAACGTAAAAAAGACTACGAACTTAGAAAAATGCTAAAACATTCAACACGTGACGCCGTTAAAGTACGCCTTAGTTAACGTTCATAACATATACACATCTAATAAGATTTTATTTAAATTCAGTTGTTGCAAACTTGGTTTTGAATTTTTAATTACACTTCTTATGCGTCATAAATAGTCTTAAATTCTAAATAGAAAATACGTTTATGGGCTAATTGGTAGACGCGCAACATTTAGACAGATATAGTCATCTCACCCCGGGAGTTCATACTCCAGTGACCTTTTTTTTCATCCCAACTTACAACAAAAGTAATTAAAAATAAATGTTATTATTGAAACAGTTTTAAATATTTCTTCTTATTTATCTTTGAACTTAACTTTATTCACTGCAAACATACTTTTGGTGTTTGTAAGCGTTATTTTACGTTTAGTATTTGTAGGAATTATTTGCACGCACGTATTTGAAACAATTATTTTTACTGTTTCATCTAAAAATCTTATTTAATTTAGTTTAATAATTTCTTAAATATAATATATATAATATAATTTAAAATATTTTATTAACCCTATTTAAATAAGTATCAAAACTCTTACCTTTAATTTAAAAAGAATTTAAAATTAACGTAGGCTATAACGATTTTTACCCTTTCATCAACATTTATTTAAAAAGTAAATTTGGATATAGAAAAACGGGTTAAAGACTTATTATTTTCGTAAAAGCGTTTCTTTAAAGACTCTTAACAAATCATTCAAGCTGTTTTTACTGCCTAAGTTATTAAACCTGTTGTGTGTGCCAAAAATCGATACTTAATGCAAATGGAAACTTCGAGTGCTAATGGTGATTAAAGCATAAATGGTTCCTATTCATATATAATAAAAGGAAATATAAAAGACAAAGCAAAAATGATTTTTATATCCATTTAAAACAATAAATCCCAAAATAAAAAAATATAGATATTTACTTAAAAACATATTTTTCTTGATATAAAATAAAAATATAACCTTTAGTACAAATTACAAAAAAAATTTTTATTCAACAGAGCTACTTATAATACAATTTAAATTGAATCATTGTTTCATAAATATTACGCTTTAGGTTAGCCATAATCAAGTCAGCTATAAGAAACGGAACTAAAAATGGAACAAAGTTATTTAAACGCATAATCATACACATTAATTACAAATTAACATGTCATGCAATCAATACTTTTGAAAACTCAAAAATGCGAATAAGAAACTTACTTTTTTATTTTTACATAACCCTGACAGACCAACATGAATGTGAGCTAAATCTATTTGCATAAAACATCACAACAATTAATTAAATAGCAGAACCACCTCCAAAGGACAAAAAAATTAGTTTTTTAAGGAAAATTAGAGTTATTGGGAGGGGAGGTATTAATAAATAAAAAAGCTTAACTTGAATTTAAAAATTAGTTCATAGTTTTGTTGAGGGTTATTGAGTTATTCTGAGTTTATTATACATATTTTAAACTACTAACACCACACACTTATATTCTTAGTTCTGGAAGGTGCTACATAGAATTTGATTGTGTGAAAACCAAATCCCTTTGAGATTAACATTAACTTTATCAAATGTATGACCGTGACTTTTATTTCTAGTTAATGAGCATTGTTGATAAAGGTGTCTTTATTTAAATGATTTACTT